CCCCCCTCTCTCTCTCACGATTGTCGGCAGCCAACTCATCTCACACCGTGCACCACCAGGTAATGTCTCTCTACTATTTCTCTTCTATCTTTTTTTCATTGTGGATGACTCTCTCTTTCTGAAGCGCAGAAATTGAAGCTTGTAAACAAGATTCTTGACTTTTTTCTATTATGATTTTGTATTTGTATTTAGTGTAGAAGAGTCTCCCTTTCCCCAGGCTTTATTTTAGGTCTATATATCGATTAGATAAATGAGTTCTAGATATAGATTTAATCAGTCATTAAGCACTAGAGTTTCATGAATAGTCAAAATTAACTGCTCTTTTGTTCTCTATGCACTTTCTACCCTATCTGCTTCTTCTTCATACTTTGGTAAGGCTTATTAATTTTTATTTTTTTCCTTTTGTCCAACATCCTCTACTATAAGGATCTATATTGACTTTTTAAACTTGAACTTTATCCATAATTTTGATGCAACAACTAAAAATTCGTGAAATATAAGGTGTAATTTGGTTGATTTAGTCTTGTGAAAAATGAAGATTTCATTTGATAAATCGGATTTGCAACGTGGGGATATCACTGGAAATCTAAAGACAGGCACTCTAGACACAAACTCAAGAGTTCTTTTAAATTTCTTGTTGTGAGTATAGCTTAATTGCATATAATTTCCTTAATAATGATGGATAGAATCTTATTGTCTTAGTCTTGTGGATCTTATCCACATTTTTGAAGGCAAATATCGAAAATATTTCCCTAAATGCTTCAAAAAAATAAAAGAAAAAGAGTATTACACGTATTTTTGCGATGTTCTGTCTTCCATTATTCATAATATTAGTGTTTGGTGTGGATATTGTTATAGTGTGTTGTGATAGTTTAGCGTAGAAGCTAGCAGAGCATCACCATCGTACAACTACATCAGTTGCTAGTAGTTCTGCTAGTGTAAACAGAATTGGTCGATATACTAGTATAGAAGTCGATTAACATTACCCGGTATAAAAGCTTCAATTGGTCTATTTATGCAGAGAAAATTGCTGCTCCCAAGCTATTTGATAAGAATTGAAAATTTGATGAATTCGAACGAGGCTTCTTCATTTGTAACTATCTAAGAGTTGTTCATTCACTTTATTCAAAAATGGATTAATAACTTGTTGTTGATGTTTTTTTGATGAAGTAAGATAATTTCATTAAATGGCATCAAGAAGATGCATAGCAAAGAATATACAACAAAAGTGTGGCTGCTCATATACAAAAACTTACATAACTAAGGAGCAGACACAATCCAAAAAAAGATTCAAAGCTAGTTACAGGGGCCTGGTTGAACCAAGTAAATAAATTGATTAGACAAGTTGCTTTAAGAGAGTGATTAGGAGTTGAAATTCCATCAAAACATCTGCGATTTCTCTCATTCCAGATGCACCAAAAAATAGTAGCAGGCACCATTTGCCAAGTTTTTTTATGGATTTTCCAACTCTCCATGAGCACCAGCTCTCGTAAGCATCCTTGATACTGCAAGGCACGACCCAAGCAAGTCCAAAGACTGATTAAAACATGTTCCATATGTCAGTTGCTAACGTGCAATGAAGAAACAAATGTCTCACACTCTCAGATTCCTCCTGGCACATAAAACATCTATTCACTGTCGGAATACTTCTTCTACTGAATCTCTGTTAATTTTCTTTCACAACTGATTGGTAAATAGCTTTTGTTGTAAGATGAACTCTCATTTCTTTTTACCTTACTGATGTTTTTCATACATCCATGATTCCATTATTTCATGAAGGCACCACTTTATTGGAATTTGTATGTGCCAAAAGGATTGGACTCTTCTATCTCAGCTAAATGCAAACCTTGATCCGGAGTTGGAGAGCCAGGATTTATTTTACCTGAAAAAATATTGACTTCAAGGGACTGCATTAGCATCAGACTAACAACTTGCAGTTATGTTGCTTATCACTTGAATAGATCAGATAGGATGCAGTACAATTCAGCAAATGATAAAATGAATCATGTGAAGGTAGCAAGCTTTCTGATGATAAGTTGTTGTAACTGATCTTGGGAGGTTCCTTCCTTCAATGTCAACTTTTTTAATATGTAGTGGATGTGGTTCATATTTCTTGTTGCAAGGTGCAATGTGTTTTCTAACTTTGTTATCACAGTTTCATCAACTTATGCTCAAGAGGGTCCGGACTGCTCAGGTATGAATTTCATTTCTCTAGGAAACTTATCTCGCCTTATGTTCTCATACATCATGCATTAATTCCTTTTTGTCTAATATTTGAGTAATAGGTCTATCTAGTGAGACACGATATGTTTTGTTTAAAATTTAAATTTAAATAGGACTTTTGAACAATATTTTGTGGGGCCTCATCTAACCTGTTGTTGTTGATCTTCATAAAACGAAAAGATATGTTGCTTCCAAAGAATTGAGAAATATATTTTTTTTCCTTCTTTACTATTCTTTCCTTGTCTTTTCCCTGTTGACCTCAAGGATTGATATAAAATCTAATGAATTATATAATCAAGTGATTGAAGTTATCCTAACATTATATAAGGTCCAATGATCATGTCTTTTCAGTCTTCATCTGTGATTTAAGTTTGCCATATATTTTCAAGATGGCAAAAATTTTCATTTTTAAAAAAAATCAGAAGAGCTTGAAACTTATTCGTGGTACACTTGATATTTTACTCGATCAAAAAGCTTAGTCGAGATTTGAAAAAGTCCAAAGATGGTTTGGCAGAGTATCAAGTTCTCTTCAACATTGAGTGCATATGTATTTGAGTTCTAAGCTTTACTTCCTTGTTGATACATGGTGAACTAAATGGTTAGTAAATATGTTTAATTGTATCATATTAATTGGTCACAGTTACTAGAGATGATAAGTGCAGCTGAAAATATATGCTCGATAGTGGTTGAGCAATGCACAAGTGGAAGGAGGTAAAGTCATTAATGGAGAGTTTTTGTTATCTCGTCTGTTTGTGATAAGCTGAGAAAGGATTCGATGCAACAATTTTTTGTATTGACTTAGTTTATCTTGGTATTGAGTTATTATTAATAAATTACCTTTACTTATCAATTGTCTTTTTGTGGTAATTATGATCATCCTCCATGTGTAATGAGATTCAATCTCGTTTTGGTCTTCCATTAGATAACTTTTTATGCTAACATCAGTAAATATCTGGTATCTACATCTTCTACTAGACTGCAATTAATATTTAAGTGTGCAAACTGAGATTGATGTATTTGATTAATAGTGTTGCAGTTTATTAGATAATATTCATGCTGAAAGTTTTGAGGAAGCTTTCTTCCGAATTAACATCCCTTTAATTGTTAAGATCATGATAATAGACTTTGTCTGCAGATCATAGCATGCACAATACATTTACTATGCTGGTGTAATTTGATGGGCTTATCTGGTGCAATATGGCTCCTTTTCCTTGTGCGTAAGAGCTGTTGATATGGAGAAATCTAGCCTATCATTTTGGTACATAAATAGATTTCAAGCTGATGTATGTTGTGAAATTTGTGTGCTGCACATTGAGTTGTTTAGCTGTTGCAAGAATAAGTCTTCAACTGGTGTGTTTAGGCTCTTATGTACTGGTAGATTTTAGATTCCATGCTTGTGTAAGAATCCTTCGTTTTATAATAGATCGGGGTAGATTGAAGTCTTTGGTAAGTTTGTTGAATGAAGACTTTCATTGTGAGCAAGGAATGAAGAGATACTTGTTAGATATGAAATGATATTGAATTCAAATGATTTTTTCATCTTCTGTTGCACTTTATAACTATGAAATAGAAATTGTATTTGTTGTGAATTTTATGAAGTACATTATTCTTTCTAGAATGGATATAGTATTTGTATGTTCTATTACAAACTTTGTTTAAAATGAAAATTTGCCAACTATAATAAAAACCATTAAGGAAATAATAACGGCCAACATAACAGTAGTTTTAGTTGTCATTACATCTGCCGCTAATAGAATTACTCTCTACTAGTGGTTAATGGACTTTAGCGGCAATAACAAATATTGTTGAATGCATGAGCTACCATATTGTCTATGCAACTTTAGTTGCTATTGTAATATCTGGTAAACAATTGCTACTAAAAGCAATGGCTTTTAGCGGCAATAATTTATGTCATTACCGGCATTCTGTCTAATTGCAGCTAAAATCTTTGGCGACCCTAAATTTAGTGACAAATAATCAATTGCTGGTAAAAGTTTTTGCGGCAATTTTTATTGCCGCAAAATGAGAAATGTATTGCCGCTAAAGACCATTTTTGTTGTAGTGATATTATGAATTGAATAGGGAATTCCCTCTTCGCTCTCTCTCTATCTCTCATTCTCTATCAGTATTCTTATATTAATATCTTCATGTG